CCCTGGCCCAGCCTGCCTTTCTCTGCCTGATAGCTTTTCTTAGCCAAGAGGAGCAAGGATCCTGTACAGGAGGGTTGTGAAAACCTGTCTGAGCACCTTGTCAACATTCTCAGAGCAATTTTACTGTTGCTCATCCAAAACAACTTCAGCAGGTTGCACTTGGGATGTCTTGCCTGATTCCATTGTGATATCACTGAAGTTTAAGTCACAGCAGAAGCAAGAGATTTTATCTGTTATTATCATAGAAGCCATTATAGAAGCCGTCCAGAGACTTTTTAGTAATGGGATGGCATGTAAAAACTTTAAATATAAAATAAATAAATATCCTGGAAGGGCCTGGCAAATATATTGCAGTGGGCCTCAGATAGCTCCAAGATGTCCTTGAGAAGAGCATGTAGCAACCCTAAACAGCTCTGCTGGGCAGCAGAAAGATGCCTGAATAAAGGCAGTGAGATATTCTTTCTTTGTGGCTCTCACTGCCTCCAAATATGCTCAACTATAGGCACATGCCAGGTTCAGTTGCATCCACTAGTTTTCCTCCATCTGCTCTCAAGTCATCTCCTGTTTCGTTTCATTGCTCTCAGCTCCTGGGCAGACCACAGTGCCATAGGAGCTCTACCACAGAGAAGGGGCAATTGCATCAACTGCCCAGGTCACCCCTGTCTTCCAGAGATAAGCCAGGGATTTAACAAGAGTGCTAGTCACATTTTATGTAGCTGCTGCTGCTGCTGCTGCTGCTGTCGGTTGCTCATGTCCTTGCCCTTGTTTCAATGTGTATGCCACAACACTAGCCCATGTCGGGACTCTCTGTATGGCTCAACCTTTAGAGCAACCCTTTGGAAGTGGAACAGCGATCAGGGGAGATGTTCCATGCTACAGCATCCTAAACTGCAGCATCCTAAGCACTGCCAGCCTGCTGTGGAAGGGCAGAAGATTTTAAGCTCTCTGACCCACTGATCCTAAAATCTTGTGCCACAGCAAGGCTGTTATCGATTGGCACTGTCTTCAGACATGTGCCATGGAATCAAAAGAGATGAGGATTTCCTGCTGCTGCAACACCGCCTCAGACCCCCCACCCCCCACCACAATGCATCATCAAGACCCATAGACCTGCACTGTTGTCCTCTAATGGAATGTTGTATGGATGGGCATTTATCTCCACCACTAAATGGCATTTTCACTGCTTCCTACAGCCCTTAGCCAGCTGTCAGGTTACATGTAGCTGTAAAAGTACAGCCTGAACTATTTTATTTCAACAATATTTTATGATAAGTGCCTATTTCAGGATTAGTGACTTCTGAACAGGCTCTCTGATGTTTCTATGATTGTATGCTATGCTGTATGTGTAAGAGAGCATGACTGTGGTTCTGGATGGATCACCAGGGGACACGTAATGGTACATGCCCCCTGGTGTACTTTTGCAGGGCCACTTTGGGCTGCAAAAAGTTCCTTCCCTTGCTATAAATATAAACTCAGAAGAAAGCCTCAGCGGGACTTACTGAGCTGAATAAGACTTATTTAATTTCAGCTGCATTTAGAGTAATTCATAAATAATACGGGACCTGGGCTTCACTGAAAGCAGCTTTAAATTCTTCCCAATTATGACTGTTGGGTAACTAGAAAAATTGCTACCAACTGATACAACTTCACCTTACATCAGAAATTTGGAATCAACAATGCAATAGACATTGATTCAAAACTCCAAAAATCAATGTACAAAATTAGTCAGTCATTCAAAATGATAACAGAGTCCACAATATGAATATGCTAAATTTGAAAAAACATCTTTATTTGAATTCACATATCGAAATAGAATCTATTTGAACAAAATAGATGCTGCTATTAACATATTGTGCTAACTCCCCCAAATAAATAGATTTTCATTTAAAATATTATACAGAGCTGTCCAGATGTCGCAGGAATTCAATTTGCTCAGGTATGTTCAGGAGATAAACATAGTTTTGTATAGGATTTCAGCTTTTTAAAGAATCCACTGATACATCAAATAGTGCAGTCTAGTACAGCATGCTGGCACCATGCCGAGAAACACCACCATAGCTACACAGAGCAGGCTTAATTCAGTGTTAGCTGGTTTGCACTGGAGGACATCAGGAAGTATCCACTGTGCTAGCATAAGTGACTCTAAAGCAAGATCAGTAGTGAGCACAACATGATCTACATTAATAGTAGTGTTGTCTTGGATAATACCTACAATTCTCTCTCTCTCTCTCTCTCTCTCACACACACACACACACACACACACACACACGTGCATTTTGGGGGATATAATCAGAAGAATGTTTGCTACAATCCTGCACTAAAATACCTGTATGTATATAAAGGTATTAGAAAGTGAACCCATCGTGTTCAGGAAAAGTGCTTAACTGGACCCTAGACTATAGTTAACTGGCAAAACATTGTGGGCCAGATCCATCTAAGCAACTGGGTCCCAATTCTTCATAGCTTTCATAAAATCACATGGAGTATGTCAATGCAATTTGAGATGCATGACTGGATGGAGAAAAACAACCCATCTTTAAACTGATCACAATGATAATGACAACAATGATGAACATTTGCTGCCTTAATCATGCACTTGGTGGATTATGGTTTAAGGATGCCATCCTTCCAATATGGCTGGCTCAGTTGTGCTGCTAGCTGTGGGGCTTTTCCTGACTAAACATGCATAGAATTGTCTCCTAAGGCATTTGGTTTAACAGAAGTTCTTAGAATCATAAATATAATAACATGCTTTAAATGATCAAAAGTTCGTTTTTTCTACTATTCCTAGCATCTTTTATCTTCCTATCTTTCTTAGAAAAATACATGTCCTAAAATGGTTGACAGCATAAATTCTTTAATGGTAATTAAAAACCGTAAAAACCAAGGCCAATAATGATAGTGTTCTCCTGCCTTGTGGGTGTCTTTGAATTAAAAAGACACATACAGAAACATTGATTAATTTGCACCAAGTATTGTAAGGAAAGATTATGAGTCATTTATGAATTGTTTGCTTTGAACTTATCAAAATGTGACAAAACAGAAAAATTATACACCTGAAAAGATGTGGAGAAGCTGCAGTAAAATATATAATGTGGACACAATTCCAAATCATGCTGACTTCAGGTTTGGTAACTTTAGGGTACATTTGCAATGCACCATTGCTAGTGCTGATCTCAAAGGGCACTTTCTGGTTTTTAACTCACCTAAAGTCCCTCTGCCAGGTCCCCCCTCCCTTTGCACAGCCCACCCCACTCAGAGGGTCTTCTGATTCTCTGTATAGCATGTTCACAGGGCTGGAGTGTTTGCTATGAAAAAAAAGGAAGGAAATCTACTATATATGTGGATCCAATGCAAATATGCAAATAGAAATGTTCATTCATGACATCTGGGGCCTGAGGTGCAATCCCAATCTCTCTCTCTCTCTCTCTCTCTCTCTCTCTCTCCACACACACACATCAGAGCAGTTTTCCTCAACTTGGTAACCTCCATATGCGTCAGACTGCAACCCCCATAAGTCCTAAGCAGCATAGCCAATGGCATTCTGGGAATTTTGGCATTATGGAGTTGCACTGCAATACATCTGAAAGGCTAAAATATAGATTAGGAAGCTTTTTTCCCCACATTTTTTTTTTTTTTGCTTTGATTTAGCAATAATGGGAAGATGTGTAAGAGAGAAATGTATGGACAAGATTGTCCACACCCAGAAGCCTCTATTCTATGACACTAATATTGATCACACACATGTCATCACAAGAATACCTAAAATTTGGTGATATTGATGGGTGAATGCCCAAAAGCCTAAATGAATTTTCTGAATTTAAGAACACAGACTTATTATTTATCCATTTCTCAGTCAAACCTTGGTGCCTGTTGGCAGCCACACTCAGGTACCATCCACACTCATGGTGTAGCTCTTGAGAGTTTGGGCCTTCACAAAATTTATCTAGGATCATCCCCATTCATGTACTGACACTGATGTTCACCACATTTCAGAGATTCTCTGTTAAGGCACATAAAAATGAATACAGGATTATTCATTCAATTCCAATTTTCATATTAAAGACACTAAAAAGTATTTTCCAAGTACATGTGAATCCACTACAAACACAGGATTCAAGCAGATCCTTAGAATGTTTTTCACCCATGGGATTCATTTCATCCAGTCTTTATCAAATCACTCTACTGAAATTTTAACGAAGTGTGAAAATACACATTCCATTTGGTCACATAACAAGGTATGTAAACATTGTTCCACATTTGTGAAAACCTTTCAGAAAAAAAGACAACTAAATGCACAGTACTTTGGAGTGGGTGATTTAGTATCTATCATTATTGATGCATAATTTCTGCTGGTCTGTAGAAAATAGTATGAAAACATTAAATAAGAAAAAAACACTGAAGTGGCTTATAATTGTAGTTCATTGCAGTCCACTGACACTTGGGAAAACATGGAGAGCTAATGTGCTTGTCATTCAGCAACACCAACTGCATGAACGATACCCCCACACCATACATACAGTTGTCACGATATGCAGAACAGCACCAGGTGGGTGTGTGGGTACAATGTGAAGATGCCACTCCATACGAAAGTGCTTCCATGGGATCTTTGCCATGCCATGAACCTGCTGACAACCCACATGCTCCTATTGCCAATTGCATGCGATGTAGCTGAGCTGAACCAGGTCACAGAAACATGAACTAATCCTTCTAAAACTCAATATCTGGATCAAAAGGTTAAAAGAAGACAACATGCTGGTCGGGATGTTGAAATATTCCAGACTGTGTTGCCTGCAAGAAAAACCATTTTACATGACTGAAATAAATCTGAGAAGCTATTTTTATTTATTTAAAAAAATGTGGACTGGCTGCTCAAGTAGTGTTCCCATGCGGATATCATTTCCAGTAGTTCCAGCTGCCATGACATCTGCTTAGAAAGTTGTCACTTGAGCCTAAGATTTTTCTGTGAGTTTCTCAGAAAGGTTTAGTTCTTCAGCATGTTAAAGGTGTACAGAAATCTCTGTTTCATCCTTCTGCCTTGGTGATGGAGTCAGGCCTGGAGGAGGCTTGTATAAGATAAATGCTACAATAAAAAATATTATGGAAACTGCTTTGGAACATGCGCCTGTAAAAGTAAAAACAAAATAGTTATTTAACACTTTTTGCTTTGCAAGAAAAGGCATTCCCAATCATTACCATCTTATTTACAACTCAGAGATCATGCCTAGTTTATAGGCATTGCTTATAAACTAGCTAGGCCATGCCTATACGATATGAGCCACAAATTTCAAAACATAATTTCAAATGATCATGCCTAATCTCTCATCCCCACCAGTTAAAATTTGAGCTCAGTTATTCAACTTGCCTAATCACTGATTGATCCACTAGTACTTCAGTTGATTAATAAGCCAATCAAGCAAATTCAACAAGTTTCAAAATAATTGCATTTAATGTATAGGTTAAACAGTTTTGGGTGTCTGTCAAAGACTATCTAAATGGCCCAGGCACGTGGCATGTGTGTCAGTCTCCTGACATTCCTCAGGTACACCTATGGAAAAGTCCAGCATCATGTATCTGCTGTTGGAGCTTCACCAACACCTCCTGGAAATCTGGGTGGATGGGGATCTGCTAATCCAAAGTTGCCTCATTCTTCTAATATAAACCTGCAGCTTGCATACAGTAACTTCCCTCCTGTCATGGTCAATGAGAAGGGGGGAGTAAAATATCATACCTGGCCACCAAAAAAATAGCATGGCACAGGATTTATTTCTTAGTAGAAATGAATATAGTCGCACTTTGATTGACCCATGGAGTGATTGCCAGTTTCCATTAGATCTATTGCTGATTCCAGACTTAGCACTGTGCACATTCATATTAAGTCTGCATTTGCTTATTTATGGGAAAGGGTTCCTCCTTCCAACCAAGGAAAATCAGGAGGTCACCTCTGAATATGTTTGCTGGCAATACAGACATGTGAGTACAAAGAAAGTTGGTTATAGCAACTGCTACACTTTGCCTCCACATCCCAGATTTCCATTCATTTTTTCCTCTGAAGAGTTCAAGTGTGATTATTCTGACCAGGACTATTTTGAGTATAGAGCATTTGAGGAACACTTACTTATACCCATTAGCGTAAAGGCCATTTTTTTGTTGTCATAGGTCCAACATGCTCCTTGAATTCCACATTTATCTATGGACCACAGAGTACAGGTATGATCTATTGAAACACCAAATAGGATTGGTCCAGGTATGCTGCCTATAAAAGGTAAAAAGATATTAAAGATGATGCAATAGTAATTTAAAATGCAAATTCAGATGATTGGGGCTAGACAGTAAAACTGAAAATAAGGCAACCAGAGATGTCATACAAATTCATAATATACTCACATACCCAGTTAAAAGTGGGACACTTGCAAAATCTTCAGGCAAGACTTTTAATATAGTTTTGCCTAAACAATGTATAATTGCAAGATTTATCACAATGCTAGATAAAGTATATGTGTATGGAGGTAAGGTACATGTAGTTTCATATTTTAAAGTTAGATTATACCCTGCTTCTTCTACTCCTCAGCTACCTGTGCACAGTGCCTTTTATCCAAACAAGAACATGGGTTTCCTCCCTGAATGCATACTATGTACTGTGACTACATACACTTTTGAAGCTTTATGCACACTAAAACTTAGATATCATTTGAAATTTGTGCTTCTCTGAACTCAGTAATCAAAAATGTGTGGAAACATTGATTCTGTATCAATGCAAGTGTGCACAAAAATGCAGCTCAAAATGCATTATATTAGCAAAACTATTTGCAAACTTTGTATAGTAGACAAAATTGCATTCAAATATTTATTTATTAGGAGAAATGCGCACAAAACTTCATAAAAGTCTTTCTTGCATGAGCGCAACCGCGATCTCAGCCATCTCCCCCCTCCAGCATGATCGCACCATCTCCCTCCCAGCGCACCCATGTTCGCAACTGTCTCTCCCCCCCACCACTTTGCTTCACATTTTTGATTTAAAAAAAATAGTTACAGAAGGGATTAACCTTATTTAAGAAAGCCGATAGAAAGAAAATGGATTCATTTGAAACATGGTGCTAGAAAAGAGACTGACAGAAAGACAAACAAGTGGGTCCTAGATCAAATCAAGCCAGAGCTTTCCACTGAAGGAAAAATGACAAAACTGAGGCTGTCATATTTTGGACATATCACCAGAAGGAAGGACTCACTGGAGAAGTCAATCATAGTAGGGAAAGTCAAAGGCAGAACACTAAAGGAAAGACCAAATATGAGATGGGTTGAATCCATAAAGGACAGTGCAGCCTCAAACTTGGAAAAGCTGAATGGAGCTGTTATGGACAAGACATTTTGGAGGGTTTTCATTCATAGGCTCACCATAATTATGTGGCATCATTTTTGGGGGATTTGCAGAAAAAGGGGGTTCTTTTCTCAACAAAATACTTGCTATCTATTCATTTTCAAAAAAGAAAAAAGAATGATATTTCAGGTCAACCATGCCCCAAAACATCATAGCTACACTAATCTATACACATATGGAAAGGTAAATACCTCAATTTACATAGGGCACACATCAATCCTTCATTTTCTATTGATAACTATGGCACCTGTGGGTACCTGTCTTAAGTTAAGGAAAAACATACCTAAAAGTCGCAGAAACAGCATATGAACGCCCATCGCAAACGATCGGTGCCCTTTTGGAACACACCTGTAAACCAAAGTTTATTTCAAAAGTATATACAACAGAAATTTATTTACTTATTTTATACCGATAATTTTAATTTTATATTATTATGTTTGTAACTCAATGTATTTTTGTATTTAATGATAATTTATTATGTTCTATTGTATTTCAATGTATTTTATTGTGTTGTAAGCAGCCCCGAGGCTTCGGCAAGGGGCGGCATAGAAATGTTAATAATAATAATAATAATAATAATAATAATAATAATAATAAATTATCAAGATTGTTGACAACTAAATATGCATGCACAGACACACACACATACACACATATATAATTAGAACAATAGAAAAAAGCAGCACAAAAACTGAATTCCAAAAGTGGAACTAAAATGTAACAGATACTAATAAAAGATGTAAGTGCTTGGGTTTTTTAAAAAGTCAGCAACCATTTGAGGTTTCTAAAAAGTCACTATAATTTTTCTCTGTACATTTACATTTTGAACTGCTGTTTCTAATTGTTATTTCACGTATGGAAATATGACCTTAAAATAAAATCTGTAGTTTTGTAAATTCAGCAGCTAAACAAACCTCTTTCTGATGTAGCTCAATGGTGCCCTCTAGAGTGTCTGATTGATGGTACTGTATGAGGATCCCAGAATAGGGTTGCTTCATCTCTTTCTCTCCCAATATCCAAGAATTCAGCTCATTTGCACAATGGTTTGTCCACACAAAACTGCTAGGCTCTCTTATGCTTCAAGTTTAAGGTTGTTAGAAAAGTAGGTCAGCCAGCAAGTAATCAGGTTATTGGGAAAGTGACTTGCTGGCTAAACCACTGACATCCAAAATGGAGAAAACCAATGACTGGACAAAACAAAGATTACTCTTAAAGAAGGAACCAGCTTTTACTGAATTCAGCTTCCCATAAAATTATCAGGATAGAAGGAGAATTTTGGCAGAATACATTGCAAGCCATGTTCAATGTAACAAGAGCAACAAACAAAATCAACCTTATCAAGAGCAGTTTCAGCATTTGAGAGGACATGATAAATAGGGTAGAAACAGCGTAATGTCTACCTGAGAATGGCCACAGTTGTTGGTGTAACAGCCATAAATGTAAAAACAACTGTTAAGAAGAAGAAGCTAAGGAACCAAGGCAGGACTGTACACTTGGATTTACACTTCCCAGGAATGGCTCCAGCGGTGGTATTTTCAATTACTATTTTGGGATCCCCAACACAGGAACACTGGCTGTAGACCTATAAACAATGCATATAAAAATTTTACTAGGGAGTAGAAATGAGCACTAGATTTGTTCATTTGTTCAAAAAATCTAAAAGTAAAAGATACATTCAATATTGACAATACAGAGTAACAAATTCTTAACCTATTAAAGCACAGTAAAAACTACTTGCAGATCACAATCCATTCTGGCCCCATTCAGATTCTAACTTGTGCATGCATGTGCAACAAACAGTGACCATGGATTCACATTCACACTGAAAATATATTCAGTGAAGGCAGTGACATCTAATGACCAAGTACATCACACCAGTATCAGTCATAAACAATGGAGCCTGTTTCTTTCTCAGGATTTTCCTTAGTGAAGCAACTGTTTATGAAATGTATTTACAATCATAAAAACTGTTCTGTCATTATCAAACCTTACACTTACTTCAACAGAGACAGTTAGGAATGTGATGACAAATATTTGTCCGCTAAGACTTTGAAATTTATTTTAGGCACCCAACAAAACATTTGCACCAGCCTACATAATAGTCTTTCTGGCATATAGTCATCCTAAATAAATGTTGGTTTCTACCTCTCTTGTAAGTTATTGTTTTCATTTCAGAAGCATATAAATTATAATAAATTAATATATGAAGAAAAAACAAGCTTGACTCTAACAGAAGGTATTCATGCTGACATGCTGCAACTTTTCACTGACCTCAGAGCTTGCCTTTGATGGGAAAAGCAAGGGTGAAAGATTTTCCCACCTAAAAGTCAGAAAAGGCAACAGATGCTGCAGATAAGAAGTTTGAAAGAAAGATGAATTCTTATGAATTATTTTGTTCATATACTCTGTTTAAGACATAAATTAAAGCTGACATGAAAGATTTGGGGAAATGAATGAAAATGGAAAAAAGCTCAGAGTCTTAAAAAAAGCAAGTCCAAAACAATAGAAGTTGTGGAAGAGAGTACAGATGGGACTTAGAAACAAGTATTCTGCTTGGAGATGTGAGGAAATGCATTGAGCAGTCATGCTGACAAGAACATGAAACAAAACTTCTCACAGCTGGTTTTGCATTGCAGTTAAATAGTCTGAGCTTGAGTTCTGTTCTTTGTAAATCATCACAAAGTAGCTCATGAAAAAATCATAAAAGTACAGGAAGCAAAGCTGAGAAGTACATGCCTATCCCACTCCTATTGCTACAGCTCTGAAATGTCATTAGGTAAGGTTTTAATCCTTTTTTAAGAATGGCTCCTAAAACAACTATTTATTGCAACACTTTTGCATTTTATAAGGGTTTTCTGCTCTTATATTTTGTCAAAGATCACTGTAGATTTTGAAGTGAAAGATAAGAAGAGATGCCTGATCTCAAAGTCCTGTATAAATTGATTTCTTGGTGTCAAAACCCAGAAATTGTATGAATACATAATATCCATGGATGCACTTTACTCTTGGGAAATGAAATGGGACACACTTGTTATCTGCTGATCCATGATCTAGTTGAATACAAAAATATCATCTCAAAACATCCCCAGGCAAGGACAAATTCTCATAGAGAAATATGCAACAAAAGGTTATAGGGTATCCTCATCTTCTAACACAACTCTGTAGGGGTCTCAAGATTTGTTTTAACCAAATTTGCTTTAGATTTTAGCCTATTTTCAGCCTCCATAACGGTTTTCTACTGAATGTTGTACCAAATTAAATGTTTCATCCACTGCTAACACACCACCAAATATCATCAGCAAGTCAGCATGGTGCGTAGCAAAGGCCAGGGGGAATGCATATGGTGCATGGACCAAATGTTTCCATCTCTGTTGCAACAGGACTGTTTCCGTTCAAGGTCAAAGCCAATCAACTGTCTTCTTCCAAGACAATCTACTCCATCCTCCTGCCAGTTCTCTTTTCTGGATGATAGTCAAAATGTCCTGTAAAGGAAAGCTAAATGTCCATAGCTAATGAAACTGCTCAATGTCCCTTACTGGGACATTTTAACGTGTGCAGATGTTTTTGCTTGCTTCTTTTTTAAAAACATTAGGTCTCCTTTGGGGTTTAAAGATTTGTTTTTGTATTTCTTTAAAATGTGGGGTTATAGTCTGCATGGAGTGATAGATTCCTACTTTATTGAAAACTATTTAGCTTCCTTATTAGAGTTGCAGGTAGAAGGAACTAGGTAAAATTCGCATTTAAACTGAGATCCCGATATCTAATTCATGTACATGTGCCAAAGAGCTTATGAAAAACCTTACATGATGTTATACCATTTTGTGTGGCAGAAGCTTAACTTATTGATATGTTAGTCCTTATTTTAGTTATATTATCAAATCACCTGAAACATAAAATTTCAAAGAATATTTTTTGTCCATATTTAGAAAGAGAGCTCTAGGTGCTTTGGTCATATATGTATCCTTCAGCTACTAACTAGTTAATTAGCTTTCTCCTCCAGTCAACAAATATTTTTAGAAGGCAAATGGTTATCATCTAAACATTTTTAATCCAGGAATTTGGGCTAAATTACATATCCTCCATTCATGACATAAAGTAACAATACCTTTGAATGCTTATGAACAAACACAGAAGTACATCCTGCATAACATGGAGAAAAATACTGAACTTCATCTGCACCACAGACTGGTAAAAACTCTGAACGCATGCATCTACAGTGGGCATTGCAGGGTGCAGTTAAGTTTGATAACGTGCCTGTCCTGAAGAAGAGAAGTAACAATTAAATTAGCTAATCATAGGCACTCCTGAGCATTCCATAAGACTCTATGTTCATTTATTAATAGGTATAAAATACATGCACCATATATTTATATATTCAGCAGAATAAGCATGCATTTTTAAACAAAAGTATTGTATGGTCATCCTGCTATCTTCATAAAGTAAAAATGAAAATGTAAGTCGTTAACATTGCTCCTTCAAGGTTAGCACCTCAGAGTGTTTTCCCAATGCACACTGGGGCAAAGTAAAAAATAAAAAATGCTATGGTTCTGAAATATGCAACTGCTTACACAGGACAAGAACCTTGGTCCATCTTACTCACTGCCCTCTACTGCAAAGGTTTAATAGGGCTGGGTGCAGACTGGTACTCAGCCAAGTGGTCTTAAGGAGTACAAAGGTAAAATTGCTCATCTTCTAATCAAATGGATGACTTATTCCTAAGACTGTCCACCATGCCTAAGGGCTGAAAAGTGGTCAATGTAACAGCTTAAAAGGGGGTGGGGGATGAAGAGAATACCCAGATATTACCAATCAGTTAGCTTAACATCAGTTTGGGGTAAATTAATGTAAAACATTGATGATTAAAGCATATTGGATTATTTTTGCTGAAGATGTATCAGCATGGCATCTTATCAGGTAAGTCCTGCTTCAGCATTTTTTCAAATTCTTGGAGAATGTCAACTTCAACAAGCATGTGGTTAGGGGACAATCCATTGTGTGCTTGGGCTTTCACAGAGCTTTGACAAACTTTCTTCCTTGAGCAAAGTTCAATAAGAGGGGAGGTTCTCTAATGGGTTGGTAAACTATTGAATAACAAGTAAGAGACAATATGAATAAATTAGTAGTTCTCACATTGGAGAACTTCTCCTAAGATCTGTACCAGGATTGACACTCTGATTTGTTCTTAGATGATCTAGAGTCAAAGATGGGCAGTGAGGGGCAGTAATTATTCTAGTTGGATAAAATAAAAAGGATCAAAAAGGAGTTCCAAAAGAACCTAGCCAAATTGGTTGAATGGGCATAAAACCACAAATGTGATCAAAGTCCAAAGTGATGCACATGAGGAACATGGACTGAAAATTCTTATGGGTCTGAGTGGCTGGCCAGGAAAGGGACCTTATGTGACAGTCTGGATATCAGTGAAAGAGTCAACCGAGCATGCAGAAGTTGTGGAAAAGTAAATTCTTTATTAGGGAGCAAAATGAAGGGGATCAAAAGCAAAGCTGCCAATATCACAATGCATTTATACAAATCAGTGTTGCACCCAACATGGCATGCAGTTCTAATCGCTACTTTTCAGAAATAGTATTTTAGAAATGGGAAAAGGGCAGGGGCGAGACATAGTACTATTACAACACACGGCAGGTCATGTTGGCTACTTAGGTTTCATTCTGCTTTAACTATATGGTTATGATATTATGTTTTACTGTGTTTTTAAATGTCATGCTTTTTTCAGCTTTGTGCTGTAAAGGACCCAGAGAACTTCAGCTAATGGGTAGCATAGAAATGTAATGCAGAATAGATAAAATCATAAGCTGTCAAGTGGCACATGATAATTAGCAGCAAAATAACCCTAAGTGCTAGATTCATTGGACTGTATTCTTCCCAGTAAAGCCTATTTGAGCAAATGCCTAGCTCTGTCAGTGAAAATCCTTCACTGGGCACACATGGAGAATTTGTTTCTCTGAAGAAAAATCTAAAAACTTGACATCTTCCTCCCTGCAGTGCAGAAATGTCACATTGCTGAAGTGCTATTTTCTGTCACTTTCTGTAAGTGTGCAGTGTTAGTAGGTGTTCTTGGGATTAAAAATAGGATTTTGTACTATTTTGACCTGTTTATGTCTCCAAGTTTAAACAGACAAACATTTCAGCAAGCATCCTTTGAATGCACAGCTTTGCACCAAAAATGGTATTCTTGGCAGCTAACAACAATATAATGCAGATCAAAAATTACTTTAATCAGGCAGTAATATAAAAAAGATCCAATAAAACACAATATAAAATGCAGTTGGTCTGCATGCACAAAATGTCTTTGCCCGCTGGCAGGAGGTAAATGAGCCAAGCTAGTTTCTCTTGGCAAGGGGTTCCACAGCAGTGGAAGCAATCGGCAAAAAGGCACTCTTTCATGACTCCTCCAAACATAACTCTGCTCTGAGGACAACTGAACCAAGAGAAGTGCCTCCCCCAAACATCTGAACAGCTTAGTGGGCTCAGATGTGGCATACTGTTTAAAGTGTTGGATTGGGCCTCCAGAGATCTGGGTGCATGCAATTACAAGGCAGCAGTGGGGTGCTTCTGGCCCTACTTTGTGTCATGCACAACCAGTCAAGATGAGTCCAGTCATTCTTCCTTGCCTGAAACTCCTTCGCAGGGCATGCATTAACATGCGGAGGCTTTTGACCTTCATTTTCATTCCCAACTGAAGTACATGCAAGAAGAATTGACCCACTGAATCTTTCTTAGTGTTCCATCCCCCACATCTCTCCCCTTTCTGCCCTCATAACCTTCCCTTCTATTTCTTCCCATTTTCTCACTCACTGCCAAGAGTCATACTGTAAGCTTCAGGACTGCCTGTGTTTACTCCTGTTCTGTATGTTGATAGTAAGCTGCTACTTTTAATGTCATTTTAAACAGTTCTTCATAAGGCAAGCAAATAAACTTACCCATTATATGTTTCTGAGACACCAGCAAATGGTTCATTCCCACATTTGGCAATGGCAAACACCATATTTAAAACAAGTGCAATTGAGCAGGTAATGATAATGAATCTGATTATATTTTTGCAATTCAGCTGGAGCTTGGAAACCAAGGTGCCACTGATGATTTGGCCTATTGCTGCCCCGGGAACTAATACAAGTCCTAGGAGTGGGGTGAAACGGAGAGACAGGCATTATTCCATTGGTAATTCAAACAATCAATTCAAATGGAAATTTAAACAGGGAAGACTTTCCAAATGAAAACAAGGGGGAGGAATACACATTTTAGTATAACATGCCTTTAGGAGTCCATTTTTGCATGTTATGGACATGTAAGGCTTTGATACTTGCATGTCCATAAAAGGAAGGAAGTGGAATGAGGATGTTAGTGTTAACATCTCTGTTCCATGCATGGACAACTGGAAAGGAGCAACTTTCACATAATCAGGATCCTCTGTTGGACAAGGATCTCAATGGGACTTCCCCACCACCATCACCACCAATCTATGAGCAGCTGTCCATACACAGCTACCACTTCTGGACATATCTGCTGAACACAGAGACATTAAGAAAGCCAGGCCAAAAAAAGACAGGAAGGCAGGGAAGGGGCAGGCCCCATTTTCAAAGGGCCTTAGTTTGGTGCTAGAGGATGTGCTTTGCAAAACATCTCAGGTTCAAGGACCGAAAAAACTACTGGCTGAAACCACAGAGAGATTGCCAGTCAGTGTCAGGAATACTGAGCTAGATGAGCCAAGCCTCTTCCTTTGCTCCTTCTTCACTCCACTTCAGCTGGTGAAAGCCATACATGCATATCATGCTCAAAAAGTGGGCAAGAGTTTCTTGAACGTTAAATCCACTCTCAATAATTAGTAAATCCATCATTCACAGTTTAAATATTTGCCTCACATAATTTGGTTTTTTTCACCATATGCTTTGCAAGATAGCTCTTACTTCATGGAATTCTGCCAGTTCACCCAACTGGATTGTTTCATGATGTGTATGCCGAGATCAGATAAAAACCCGCCAGAGCACGCTCAATCAGATTGAAGGCCAATCTGGTCTAGCATTCTGTTTGCACTGTGGCGACCCAGGTACCCATGGGAAAAACAGAAGTGCAACTCGAATATACGAGCACCCTCCTACTTGTGTTACCTAGCAACTGGTATTCAGAGGCATGCTGCATCTGATACTGCAGATAATATATAGCCATCATTACTAGTAACCACTGATAGCCCTATCATCAATGATTGATAGCCCTATAGCACACAAGAACCAAAGGCGATACTTCTGTAGTTTATCCCCCGACTGGCATGCTCTCTCACCTACCACCACCATCCTTATTTAGAGCATGATCAAGGCAGTGGCAGGGTAGGCTGAGCTTGCTCTTTTATAAACCCTTCACCCAATCAAAATAGTTATGAAGCAGGAGCTCTGGGCAAGTCAGAACTGATTCATTAACAATCAGTTGCTCAGAAGTGATTAGCTGAAGGTTTCTATCAGCCAGGTGCATGGCAGGCCATTGCACAAGAGGATCTCTCCTTTTCATTTATTTAAATTCTGATCAGAAAAAAAGGCAATGTGCTTTGCAACTGGCAAAAGCTAGGGTAGGTTCGTGCAAATGTATCAGGGTTTCATTCTTATCAAGATTGTATTTCAGAACCAGTGTGGTGCAGGGGTTATGAGTGCAAGACTAGAACTCAGGTGATCTGGCTTCTAGTTCCCACTCAGCCATGGAGCTCACTGGGTGACTTTGGGTCGGTCACAGACTCTCAGCCCGGCCTATCACACAGGGTTGTTGTTATGAGAATAAAAGTGAGAAGAGGAGGAAGAGGAAGAGAACTATGTAAACTGCCTTGAGTTCCTTGGAAAGAAAAAAAGTGGGGTATAAGTATGAATGAATGAATGACCAGATAATATGGAACAACAACTCTGTACTCATTGAAAAGAAAGTCCAGAATAGGCTGGAAAGCTTGTGAGCTCCAGGAGAGCTGAAAGTGTGAGCTCCAGCAGGATGTGGGAGGAGTTCAGAGGACAAATCCATTCAGAGATAAAATTGTTTGTAGACCAAAGTCTGTGCTCAGCTTTGACTGGAAGGAGCTGGGGTTTGAGTGAAGCTGAAAGGAAACCGGCAGACCTGGAGGACAGTAGGTTGCCACTTGGCTAGTTGCCTGGCTAAGGCTGACTAAGCGCCAGAAATGTCTGGCACGGAACTGAAATTTCCCAATCCAAAAAGTTGGGTGGATGATTTTGGGGGTGGGGAGCATTTGGAAAGCAGTGGAAACCCTTCCCTCTTTCTTTCTTTTTTTTTGGGGGGGGGGGTGGTTGGACAGCAGGTAAACTGGAGTTTCCTGCAGTAGGGTCTCTTCCTTGCAGACAGTAGCCTGCCTACTCGCAGAGTGTCCCTGGAGTGGGGAGGGAAGTTGCCAAAGAAGTGGGGCCTTTTAACAGCTAGACTTGGCGCTGCCACCGACTAGATATATTTTTGTATTTTTTGTATTTAAGTGGTAATTTATTATGTTCTATTGTATTTGAATGTATCTTATTGTGTTGTAAGCTGCCCCGAGGCTTCGGCAAGGGGCGGCATAGAAATGTTATAATAATAATAATAATAATAATAATAATAATAATAATAGCTTCCCCATATCCTAAAAATTTAAATTCCATTCCAAAAATATCAAAATCCCCTCTCCTTAAATAATTGCCTATAAATGGGATGTAACCTTGGAAAAGGTGTTTATTCCTCAGGCCTAGAAAAACTGGACTGGCCAAAGAAGCCAATACTCACAGAGCTTGACCTAACTAATCCTGACTCAGTGATGCATCTGTGGCCATCCTAAATAAACAAATGAAGGCATTTCCTGTAAAAGAAATAAATACATTACCCCCCAATGTTGCTGAATAACTAGATGTATATCCGAACTGATTTTCTATAAATTTGGGTAAGAAAGTTGCAAAACCAGTGGCAACTAATGCTTCTAATGCAGCAGCTATGACAAGACACATCAACACAGGATTCCTCAGCAGCACCTGGAAAAGACAGTAGGGTGGGGGACAGAATTATTTTGGGAAGACGATGGTTGCAAACAGGTTCAATACAACAGAGACAATACTGGCTGTGTCACTGCTAATTTAGTCTAATTTTCCTACTCCACTCAATCTGTTATTTCTCAGTTGAATTTTTCCTACACAATCTGTGATATTTCTGGTTATAAGTATTTTTGCCTTCCCCTCAGATAATATGAATACTGTTTCCAAAATGTGAATATAGTTCATATCACTTGCCACAGCCCTATATCTTAGAACTGGGTATACAATTGTTGAAAAACATGACCAGGACAATGAACAGAGAAAGTTACTGGCTATTGGCTAACTGTTGTTGCTAGAAACTCAAGACTCAACTTCTTAAAAGTACCTGAGTCAGTGCTGATTAGAAAGCCAATTAATTGAGTCTGAGTTTGTCAAAATTTTCTGAAACTCCAAGGTGACCCTGAGGCTTTGTGAACAGCAAAATTTGGCTTCAGACACCATGGAAGACATTTGCTCAACCCTGGGAGATCCTTGACTATTCACAGTGTTCAGATATAACAGTTGGGAAGCAGTTACGGACATTCAAATAAGGCTCTAGCATATATTATGATTGTTTCAGGACTAACCTAGGGTTCTTGTTGGGGGCAAAAAAGACAGGAAGGTTTGGTCACCCATTTTAGAAAATGTAAAAGAATGTATTTTACCAGCTCCTTTATCAGGGGGAAACAGAGGGAAATGTGACAGATGGCAAAAAAAAATTAGATGCTATACTTAATTAACTGGCATCTTTGCTGATTTCCAACTTATCTGAGCCATTGATCTCTCTTTCCTAATGGCTTTGAGAAAGAGATCCAAGATACAGATGCACTAATTCTAATTCAAGGCAACAGACCATTCCTTTGCAAAAGTTAGTTATTCTCCAGAGTATATCCAGTAAGCTCAATAACCAGAGAATGAGGCTTTCCTGAGAACTCTCCTTTGGAGCACCCCTGGGCCCCCTGCCTCTAGGATGGCTCTTAAGGAAGCAGGCAAGCCTCTTCTCTGTACACTGCCCCTCTAGTTGGCCAGCATTTCTTTCCTGATGCTGCATCATGGGATCAAGAGTCATACCAGGCTCAGGTGACTCCTGGAATGCTGCACCCCATCCTGACAGTTGCAGATCCTGACTATTCTCAGAATTCATCTGAACACCTGGAAAGGTGAGCCCTGAAATAAGCCCCTCAACTTCTTGCATTTTCAAGTCTGGGGATGATGGTTCCCAGGGTCCATCCTCCTCCTTATCCAGTGAATCCACATCTGCCTGTCCTTGGAACCCATGACAAGAAGAACCGCCCCTTTCATTCCCAACAGGTAAGCAGTGAACATGAAACAGTATTATGAGCTCATAATAGGTGGCTATAAACTGGAAAGCAGGCTAAGTGTAGATAACGACTGTTTTAATTTGAAAAATGTATTCAGTAATAAAATGCATTATTCATGGTCAATGCATTAATCCCTGCTGGCAATTGTACTGTCAATTACCTTGTCCTAATTAACAAAAAGCCATCAGATCAAAATCACAGAATTTCAGAAATGGAAGGAACCTTGGAAGTCATCTGGAATCCTCTGTTCAGTGTAGGATCCATCATTCAAGAATCCTGCAACTACAATATCTTTGTCAGCTGGCCCTCCGGTTCCTGCATGCATATCCCAAAGGAATCTCACAACATCCCAAGGCTGTCCATCCTCATGTTGAACAGCTTTCAGTTAGGAAGCTTCTCCCAGTGGTATGCCAAAACTGCTGCCCTGAAAGATCCACCCACTGGTTGAAGACCTGGTCTCTGGAATAACAGAGAACAAGTTCTGTTCTCTTCAGATGGGTGAAGGGCACTATCATGTTTCTCCTTAATCTTCTCGTCTCCAGGATGCCTGTAATCCAGCTCTGTCAACACCTCCTCTAGCTCAAGAGTGGGCAACTTGCTTTTACCTGGGGGCTGAATTCCAGCTCAGAAAATCTCTCAGGGGCCACACTGCAGAGCTCCCTAAAACTCAGTTTCTTGTGAAATTTGAACACATTATGTACACAAGCATTGCTTGCACATTCAACTAACATACATGGCCAGACACTGGTATAAAAACATTGAACGCAATTTAAAATGGCTAAAACAATGCCTTGAATTTATGCTCATATTACCCAAAGAGCCAGGAGAAAGTCTTTCATACTTCTTCCAGCATATTCAGCATTCACTACTGTTCCATTATGATGTGTTTCAGAAACCTTTTCAGCTTGTATTTTGTGTGTACCTAAAAGGTGTGGGGGAAAAACCCTTGTCAAAGCTGCGCAACATTTCTGTTTAGCACAAAAAGGCATGCTTGTCCATTATACTGTGTGCTGAAGGGCAGAAATTCTGAAGGAAGTGAGTTGCAAAGTTTGCCCAACTAAAAATATCAAGTTCCATATCTTAAAATCTCATTTGTATTCCACCTGCTTACTTAGCTGTGTACAGGTACATGTAAATCCATTTACGTGACCTGGAGTTCATCTTCCTGCCAAATACCTCTGAACTACTTGTCCTATCAAACATAGTATCTTTTGCTTGGTTATGAAACTGCTAACAAGTGCAAGTGATTGAAGGAAGTGTCACTCAGCCTATGGTGTGAGGAGTGGGGTTGGTATATAATTACAATTTCCTTTAAAGCAGAGTTTTAAATGACATTATTATCTCTGACTCACTTATGCTTGCTTTTCTTCCTGCATGATTTTGCCAACATTCACAAGTGTGCTGAACCTTCCAGTTCAGCTACTCTTGTCTAATAAAAAAATAGAGCTGGGACTTGTTTGTCTTTTGTTCTTGTTTTCAAGGGCTCTGTCTTTCTTGGTGCCACTTTCTTTCTTTGACACTTTACCTTCCAGGAAGTATCTGTGTGCCAGAGGAAATTGACTCCTCAGCCAGGAATTCATGAGCAGCATGTTACTTTGCCTGAGTAGCATTATCTATAACTATATATATATATGTATATATATTGCAAAAATTTTACAGCCAAAAAATGAGGACCCACCTGGCCAAAACTAGCACAGGTTAGGTGTGGAAGAAGCTTGCTTTATTCTCCTTTTGAATTTTATCAATATTTATATCTGTTTACTTTTTATCACTGTGTAAACTGATTCCTTAAATAAACCTGCTTTGTTTCCTTATTGTGTGTGTGTTTCTGTGGTTCATTTGCACTTATTCTTTCCTACATCTACAGACTATCAAGGGTCTTGCAATTCTCATAATGCTTACAGTCTTTTATAAGAAGTCTGACTGACTCCTAAATCTTGGGCTTATTTTATAAGTGCATTCTTGGTTCCTGAGAAATAATACATCACAATCCTTAAATTTGTTTTATGGAAAGTTGTGATGAAGCCTCTCTAAAAGCTCACTTTGAACCCAAATCCTCCACAGAGGATTGTAGTACAGCCATGCTGTAATGATCCCAAGTCATGATCAACTACACTGAAATGAGAACTATGAGAATTTCAAAAATCATTTGAATATGTCATGATCGTAACCCCAGATATGAACACTGCTGGGAACAATGTTCCCTGATAATGTTTGCAAATTCCCAAACTGTCCATTTTATGGCTTATCCTATAGGCAGAAAGTGTGCATTTTGGGTGTGCTCTTTGAATGAGGTAATAGGTATCCCTAAGATTTATTGCCACCCAGAAAACTGAGGTCCCAGTTGCTGTTCTGTATTTATCTTTGTTTTCCAGATAAACTTGATAACCATGAGGGCTGAACAAAAGAATTAGAGCATTGATTCTGAGGCCTATTACTTAATCAAGACGGCCATCAGATAGGGACGCTGAAGGCATTTGCAGCCCATGTACATATGTTTGTAATCCTGCTCCACGCTAGAATGATAGGAATGCCCAACAGTATTTCCAAAGGTCTAACCACTCAGGATCACACTGATCTCCCATTTCAAAAATCATGTTTACCTGGCAATTGCCTTGGGAAAAATGAAAATGGTGCCACCAAAAGGCTTGTAGCGAAACCACATACAACAAAGGCTATCCACCAAGCGCCAACCCAACGTGCATCTTCTGGAGTGAGGTCTACACTAGAAAGATTATTAGTTTAGAAAACAAAGATTTAATATAGACATTAGTTACTGAGTCACTTAATAATATATACTGTATAAAACATAAAGGTTTCCCCTTGACATTAAGTCCAGTCATGTCTGACTCTAGGGGGCGGTGCTTGACATTAAGTCCATTAAGTTTCCTTGACATTAAGTCCATTTCCTACCCAAGGGAGCCAGCGTTTGTCTGCAGACAGTCTCCATGGTCATGTGGCCAGCATAACTAAACATCGAAGTGCACGGAATGCTGTTACCTGCCCACTGAAGTGGTACCTTTTTATCTACTTGCATTTGCATGCTTTCGAACTGCAAGGTTGGCAGGAGCTGGGAAGAAGTAATGGGAACTCACCCTGTTGTGCAGATCCAAACTGGCAACCTTTCGATCAACCAACCCAGCAGCACAGCAGTTTAAACCACTGCGCCACCTGCAGTCCCTTATACATTGTATACCTTTGGCTTATTTAACAGATTTTAGAGGCTTACTGATCACAATTCAATCATTTAAAAGACATACTCCTGTCTCACCAGCTAGAAAAATTTAACATTCCAAACGCAGTTAATAAGATTCATCTAAGTATTATTTTCCTATTTTAGTGATTTTAAAGAAGTCTGGAAAACAGTTATATCACCTAAGACTGCTCAGCCTATGACCACTCTAGGAGTCCAGCTCAGAGCTCCGTCCAGTCAAACAGCTAAAGTTTGACCATACCAAAGCAAAAGTTTCATCACTTAGCAACCATCCACTTCATTGCTCAACATATCCACTATTGCAAGCAGGATCCAGTGGGACTGTTGTACAAGAAACAACAATTGATTATTCCATTGTGCAAGTGAAACCCATCGCTTGCACAGCGGAGATTCAGTGTTTCCTATAGGAAGCTCAAGATTAGCAGAAATACTCATTTCTGTATCAAAGCAGGTTGGTGGAGCTCCTTTATATAAGCTCTGCTGATCTGCCCTTTCCAGCAATGAGTATCTCTAATCATTTCCAATTTCTCTTGGAAGCACTAGATCTCCATCTCATGGTCACGCAGGATGCAACAATACTGTCAGGGGTATAGCAACCCACTGGATACTGCCATGAAATACAAGGGTTAATATAATTACTGCTGAAACAAAGGAATTCTAAAGTTAGAAGAATGGAGGTAAAGAGGGGAAAAAGAAACTTCCTTGCCTTACTTGACGATCGAAATCAACATAGACATTAAGCAGCTGTCCTCCTAATACATAGCCAATTGCTGGGCCCAACAGTGACATGGCATAACCAATTCCTGTAGATAAGAATAAGAGTTTGTATTTCAGATCTCAAATATGCATGTAGCTCAGATACCAAAATGTATGTTAAACTTGTCCGGATTCCAGAGAGAAGCATTGAAAGCATGTAGAGTGAATGTGTATTGGCGAAGTTTGGGCCCACAGTGACAAACCCCATGTATATCCACTTGGTTGTGTGTAAAAACTGAGGATGCAGAACTGGCAACCAGAAGGTCAGATCTAGCCCACTTGAGGCCCCAATCCAGCCAATATGATGTCCCAGATGGACCTGGCCTTTTCCTCTGGCCCACCTCTTTTTGCCAATCACCAATCATTCTATTTCCCATGTTTTGTGCAGTTTCTTTTCCATTCTAAAAGGCTGAAATGCATCCCCTAACAGGATGTAAGCAGCAAGAACATTAACCTAAACCAGACCAGTGTTTTTGATTCCACCCCTTTTGCCTTCAGCCCCACCCCAATTGGAATGTGGGAGTTGTGAAGTTTTTTCAAATGGAATTCTGGATGAAGGCATTTAAATGCCCCTGGTGTAACTCTTAACGGACACAATTGGCCTTTTGTAGGGTCCCACCCGTGCCACAGGAATGTATTGGCATGCATCCCATGTGTGTAGGTCAGGAACAGGGTCTACCATCATGTTTCCTCTGCTCCCCAATTCACTCAAAATGCTTTCTGGGCCCTCTGCAGAGGTTCAATGCCTGCAAAAGGCATGTTTGATTCATGCATCCCAATCTACCAGCCTGGATGTGCTTTCCTCCCACCCCCTGACACATTCTTTTCTGTGTCTTATTCTCAGATATTGTAAAAATTAATCCACCCTAACATCTGCTCATCTGCTGAGAAGTTATTCCAAAAATGGCTTGAAAAAAGCATTCTGTTCACATCAGAAAAATTGTTTGGGACACTACAAACCTCTTTCTGGTTCTGAAGAGAGAAAGAGGCAACAAGCTTTTCTGCAGATTCTTATTAGCTGAGAGGGAACCTGCAGAGGTAGGAAGTTCTCAGTGAATCCTGAGAAGAAGTCCTAAACCAAAGGGGTGCTCTTCACACGTTTTGGGGCTAAAACACCCATCTTTTTTCAGTCAGCATGGCCAACATTCAGCAACAGTCCAGCCCATCGGAAGAGCGCCAGGTTGGCGAAGGCTGACCTAAAGTGGAGGTTAAAACTGTCACTTGAGGAGCTCAGACGTGGCAGACACTCCACTTTTGCAATGGTTGTTTTGCCGCATATATTTCCTGCTTTAGGATGCCACTGAAAACCTGCCTTCTACAGCAGAGGACATTCCCTGCAAGTGGGAGCACTAGCCCAGATGCTAGGACCTCTACAGGCCTGGTGACCTCCATTATCCTTGCTTGTTATTCATTTGTGGTATTTACACACTGCCACCAAAGAAGCATGAAACAGCTTGTACTTGTGGCTGTGCAAGCAGTAGGGAGGCAATAAGCATAACACTGGGTAACTTTTCTCCAGATTCAGGCTGAGGAACACCTGGAATTGGACAATCAATTGTTCTGGAAGGATGCAGCCATCATTACTGCCTGCCTTATTCAGCAAGAACCATCAAGGCTGTCAGCTAAATGTGTGTGGGCCAAGTGTGGAGAGAGGGGGCAGGTTCAAGTTCTCTCACTGATGTTTCTACCTGTGCTGACTCCACGCATGACCTTAAGGTATTCATTGTGAAGTTCTGAAAGGGACACTAAGCACATTCTGTTCAGCCCCTTTCAGATGCTTGCATTCAATACCTGAGGAATTTGAGCTGTGCCTCCATTCTGCATGTCTGCATGGGCTAAACAGAGTGCTCAACAAGCAGTTACAGTTAAACAAGGGGCTGGTGACCCAGCCATGATCAGTGGGGCACCTCATCCATTGCAGCATCTATTCTGAGCTGCATAAGAACTATCCATGGTGGTAAACCTATTTTGGAGATGGAGAGTGCCTATGAAGCTCAAACTAAAACAGTTCCGAGCTTCCCCTGCGGTTAAAAGCCCACAGCTCCAAATTACCCTAGCATGTCTAGGCCCATTCAGCCAGCAAAGAGAGATGGGATGCTATGGATAAGCTTCTAAACACTGGAGGATAATCAAGATCATAGGAATAATACTTAGGGAAGCTTACCTATGTAGGCGGACGCTTTGTGTTTGGGCACACTGTCATCAATGAAAGCTGTTCCCAGTGTGTACAGTGGAGTCCCACCTGCTCCCAACAGCAGCTGTGCCAGTATGAAGACATAGAAGTAGTTGGAGATGCTAGACTTGGAGTCAGAAGTGCATGTGACATTGTAAGCTTCGGGATTAGATGCAGGACAGGTGTCTAGAAATACAGGATTATTAAATCAAGAATGAAAGCTCATTCCTTGAGGAGAAATCATAACCGCACCCCCAGCTCTTCAAACTATCACAGAAGCCCCAAACAGGCACACAACCTCCAAGAAGTTACAGAGTGAATTTTCAACCAGTATGGCAGAAACTGACAAAGGTTGAGAAGTATCTTGTTCCGGATAACTCATCCCTTACAATGGTCCTTCTGAGCATACAAAAGGTGAGAAGCTAACAAAAGATGACAGCCAGCCAGTGTTATAAAACTATCTTCCACCTTCTTGCTCCCAATTCCAGCCATCATCTACAAAATAAAAATAACACTGACCTCCATTTTACAGAGTTCTAATAATTACTGAGGTAATAATGTATTTCAAATTCTTTGAATATCAAAAAGTGCTGCACAAATAGTAAGCTACTGTTATTATTAAATACAATTATTTAATAATATTTTATTATTACAATATTGACATAATGACAATTATAAGATGTCATTATGATTCTATGCAAGGAACTGAGCATCATGAATGTATGAAATAAAATGCACAAAGAGAGCCCTAAATGGGCTACAGGTCATGATAAATAAATAAATACCTGTGACAATGAGCTACAAAAGGATAACATACCCACTTCTGCATGGGCTTTCATGTTTAGATATTTAAACAAATGCTAAATCACAACAATAGAAGGGTTTTGATAATGGGTAGATAATGCATAAGAAAAAATGGAACACATGAAACTACATACATATTGGCCCAACGTGTTTCAAAAATGAAAGGTATGGTCTACGTTAGTGACATAACAAGTGGGACTTGCAAAACAGAGTTGCAGTGTATCCTCCCATCTTAAAGAACTCCAGTTCTGGGTTTCAGGCAGCCATTCCTGCCAGACCGGGCATTCACTCCTCTCTCGGCAGGGATTCTATATCCCACCGCTAAGGAGCAGCTCAGGCCCCACTGAGCTGGTGTTTTTGGTTGTGTTTGTTTGCTTTGCTTTGTTTGCAGGGGAAGCTTAGTTTTATAATTCATAGTAATACAGTCCACTAGAGGGAGCTCCCATTTTATTCATCTGAAGGATGTGAATCATTTACCACAACTGAGAAACAATGTTGGCCTGACAAGATATAGGGTTTGTTTTATTTGTTACAAAGAGACAATAAAGTGCCTGCTCGAGATTTTACACACACTTGTTCCCAAAGATGTTTGCTTAACAAAGTAAATCTTGGTATTTACTGGTGATATGCCTATCTTTATTGTGCCTAAAAAGCAGATGGAGGGTCTAAATACTGAAAGAATTCGTGAAGGAGAGCTGAAAAGCAGCTTTCATTGACCCTGTTCAGAAGTTTCTGTCAGCGCAGAGCTGACCATCCAGTGTCAAGGATAAAGAACCAGATTTGCAGCGCTCAGTAGTCACAATAAAGCATAATTTCCCATGACGGAAACCCTTCATTTTGGAAGAAAATTAAGGTATGCAACTGGGGACAGAATTGGGATGGGGTCTAATCTTTTGCTCTCAGGGTAGGAGTCAAAACGGGGTCATTCAGTGTTATCGTTCCAACTGTTTTGCCAACTGAATATATTTACTTGGGTGCTTCCAGGCAAGGGTTTTATTTTATTGTGCGCCCCGCCTCATTCATGAAAATTTACTGGGGCAAATGTCCAGGTATTCTAGACAATAACCATTTTACTTGTAACCTTTCCAGCTCTTCCCTGTGCTTCTTCCAACTTTTTTACCACAGAAAATCCATGAAGGAAGATAAACTGAAATTGCTGCATAGTTTTTCTTTTGATAGGTAAGTGCTAGGGGCTGTCTATCTGGAAGCACCCAACATCTCCTATACCAAGAAAAAGCAAATCTTATCCTTCCAAACCAAAATGAGAGGGAATATAATTAGACCAGAGGTGGACAACCTCTTGCCCATAGACCAAAAATGGTTATTTATCACAGATCAAGGAAGGTACTGGAGGAGTGGCAGCTACACACTCATTTAATGCTTCAAGTCATTTCTGAAAACACCACACAAGTGGGTCATGCTGGTCCTTGACCTTCACAATGCAGCAAACATGAAGGAATTGGTCTAAATAGGTTAACTTGTCCTCTGTCCTCTTCCCAATGGGAGGAAGCATGGAGCAAGTTCAGGGGGAAAGATCTGTATGCATTGGAGCTTCTTCCTGCGAGGCATATCCTCCCAACGCACCTGCTGGGGACAAAATGAGGTCACAGGATCTGGTCCCACCTGCTGGTGTCAGGGAGTTTTGTCTCACCCATTTGCTTTTCCTGAGCTGTAGTCCAAAAATAGGAAAACTACAATCTCACAGAGGCATGCAAACCTACTCTTCCCCTCTCCCCCACTGAAGGTCACCTAACCTAATAGCTCATTTTAACACAGTTCATTTGCTCCAAATAGAGTTACAGAGGCACCTTAGCTGCCAAAATGCACGTAATTATTTGGTGCTGACTGAGTAGCCTATCAGGCAAGGGCTTAGAATAAACCAGAATTCCTAAACCTTGCATATCCACCATTAGTTGTGCCAAATATTTTCTTGCAGTATTTTCATCCTCCACTTTGGCTGACAAGGTTCTCACAATGGTGGCTTATATAAAAATGGAAGCAACACCCTTCCAAAGTGCAGGTTGATTGCAGAGATTATTGGGAAAACTCTGTCAGTATCTGTTCAAACAATTGGATCCATCCCAACTATGTAATCTTTTCCAATACTCATTAACTCCTCTGGTGATGAAGAGTAACAGGATTATGTTTGCTTTTGCCAGAATCACAGAGAATAAGAAGATTACACAATTGCATGACAATTCCACTTGAAATAAGAACCAACAATAAAATAAATGAGAGCTAAAACCTTATGTGGACCTCCACTTCCACAAACAGTATGTTATTGTAAATGAAAGCAGATTAACTTTCATTTACACTGGTCTTTGTTTTTCTGGAAATCAGCCAAAAACAAATTACATGTTAATGGGCTCTAAATTACAGGAATCAGGATTCTTACAAGGAATTGAAAATAAGGCTGCCGATATTATATTGTCTGTATACAATTGCATGGTGTGATTGCATTCAGAATACTGTGTACAAGTCTGAGCACTGCATTTTAAAGTGTTATTGTAGAGGTGGAAAAGGAACCAAAGCAGGCAACCAGAATGAGAGTGTGACAACTCCCCTGTGAGGAAAAGTTGCAACATTTGGGAAACTTTACCTAAAGGTGATCATGAGGGGTGGGGGGGGGGAGACATGATGGAGATGGAGAAAATGTGCATGGTGTAGAGAAAACAGATAGAACCCTTGCACTAGTATAACCTGGAATCATCCAATTAAGCAGAGTGGTAAGAGATTCAGGACAGATACAGGGAAGTTAACATACTCTGTAGATACTTTATGGGACCTGCTAACACAAGATATGCTAATGGCCACCAACCTGAACAGTTTTAAAATGGGATGAGACAGATCCATGGAGATCAATGCTATCAGTGGCTACTAGTCATGATGGCTATGGACTACCTCCAGTGGCCTGGTTCATGCAATCAGAACATGGTGATTGCTATGGGGAACTGTTCTGCTAATGGAGGGCTGCTGTTCCCCACATGGTGTCATTGTTCAAATAATATGGCAAAGCATTCCAGCAAGGGTAATTAGGAAATCCAGCTGGCACACAACTGGCATGCATAGAAGGGAAAATAAACTAGTGTGTCTTGTTTCATTTGCTGTGATCATGCTAATTGCTCAGATTATCTCAGCATGGCACTGGCTAAAGAACATTGCCAGGAGTTGCTACTTCACTTATGTCCTACTTGGGGGTTCCATACAGGTGTCAGATTGGCCACTGCAGTTGTAGAATTTTGATGTATCTAAAGAGCCAGCAGGGCTCTCCTTAGGCACACTGCAGAAAACTGCTCTCACTGCACACATTCGCTTTTCTTTGTACAACATAAGGAAACCTTGTGGATTTAATTCAAGTAACAGTGCTGATTATTGCACAATTGTTACACCTACGCCATTTGTACTTCAAGACTTTAAGAACTTATTAAACATTGGGCAAGGCACTCAGAAGGACTAGTGGTACATGCTCAAGACGTTTATGACAGTAAACGTCTATTTAAGAACAACAATGGTTGAATTCGATCAGACTTGCAATGGTTTATTTATTTATTTATTTATTCATTCATTCATTCATTCATTAGCTTTATATCCTACTTTTCTCTTATAACCACCCCAAAGCGGTTTACATCATTCTCCTCCTGCTGCTCTTAATCTTACCCGCACAAGTATTCTATGAGGTAGTTTGGGCTGAAGGTCTGTGACTGGTCCAAAATCATCCAGTTGGCTTCATGGTTGTGTAGGGACTAGAACCCAAATCTCCTGAGTACCAGTCCCATACTCTTAACTACTACACCACATTATCGCTAACCAAAGCATACAACATGACTCCATGAAAAGGTACACCATATTTTATCGCCTGTTTCCCTTTAAATAGTTTTAAATACATTTTGAGGGTGTGGTAGAAGGGAACTACAGAAGCCAAATTGTCACACACAACTAAAAGAAATGAAAGCATGCATGAACTTTGGGGCAGATGCCAGAAATATCTTAGAAATGCCATGAACTAGATATGAATGAATATGGATCTATCTATGGATCCATATCTGCCTCATCATACCTACCTCTCCCTACATCTAGATAATGCAGGTTCATATTGTAATCTTATGCACGTTTAGACTAAAAAAAGATTGCCTACAAATCCCAGCATGCCTCAGCATAACCTACATGTCAAAGTTTCCAGCAGAACCCATTTCTCAGTTGTCCTTCCCAGCATTCCATCGCTTACCCAAGAGCTTCTCCTACTTCCTTCTCATTTCCTATTTGCCTCTCATGAAACAATGCATGCAAAACATTACTGCTAAGCTATTTTTATTTCTGAAATAATGATACCCTATTTGTAGAGCAGATCCGTTGTGGTATTGTCTTAGCCTACATGTTCCCTG